TTGGCCGCCCGGGTGCAGCTGGGCATGTGGGGCGTTAGGGCCATTAAAGCCCGAGGCTTCAGCTCCGAACGGTCAGACTCCGGTGCGGGCTTGATCCGGGAGGCAGGTGGGGCCTTTGGTAAGAGAGAGCAAGCTGAAGAGGAACGATACTTCCGAGCACGCACTAATGAACAACTGGCAACCTTGAAGAAACACCATGAAGAGGAAATCACCCATCATATAAACGAAATTGAATGTCTGCAGAAAGAAATTGAGCAGCACAAGAAGAAGATCAAACATCTAAAACATGATGATGATGATTAAACATACACACTTCCCATAGCATAGCTACATATCATTGCCCACTGCTATGGAAGCATAGTTCTGGTTTTATTAATACCTTATCTGTGTGCTGCCAACAGATTCTAATAAATTGTCATCAGTGGGAAAAAAAAGATTTTTTAAAAAAGGGATTGAGATGTTGGTTGAAAAAGGGAAAAAGAAAAATTCAAAAAAAAAAGAAAAAGAAAGTTAAAAAAAATTAACTTTGAAAGACTAAAGAATCGTGGGAAAAAAGCCATGAATTCTATGTGCACTATTCCCCTAGCGCTGGAGTTCTGCCGTTCTCATTGATGGGTGAACTTGGTCTTGGAGGGCTGTTCTTGCTGATCTTCTGGGGGAGGGGCCCGTTGCTGTGGTTCCCAAATGTCTTTGCTGGAGGCGGAATTGCCCCGCCCTGCCAGGTCCAGGGTAAGTCATCTGCTCAGTTTTGCTCTTGGGAGCTTTTGCTCCCTGCAAGATTTCCATGCCGCTTTGGAGGACGAGAGTGAAAATGGCGGCCTCCAAACTCTGCCCTGGAGGAGCTGAGAACTCAGGGCCTCACTCCTCAGTGCACCCCCAGAGAAAAGTAGTCAATTGCTCCCGTCTCCCTGGTCTCCGGTCGCAGTTCATGCTCACCCAGCCTGTCACTGAGCGTTTCTATCTCTGGCACACGACCCCATGTGGAGTCTCCAAACCCAGCAGAGTCCTGCAGTGCTCTCCCGTGCCACTCCTCCCAGGGGAAGAAGAGGAGTGTCCCCGGATCTGCCACTTGTTGGGTCACTGCTGGAAGAGCAGTGGCCCAACTGTGCCACAGATCACAGTTTATGGTAACCCCAAGTTGAGAGCCCACTCCTCGGCTCTGTCTCTGCAGCCGACTAGATAGGGATCAAACCATTCTGAACACCAATGAACTCAACAAGAGATCGAAGAAGAAAATAGAGCAACTCTCTGAACAGAAAAGTGACCACTTTCTGGAAGGTGTCTTCTGATCCCTATCTAGCTGAATTCCTGGGACCAGATGAAATTTAGGTCTCCACTCCTCCGCCATCTTGCTCCTCCCTTGCAAGGATATTCTTGAAAATTGCCCTGGACCTTATGTTTCTGACCTGTCCTTAATCTCACTCCAACCCCATTTCACCCTAAGCTCTTGGCTACACAGGCTGTGTCTGATCCCACCTCTGGCAATTTAGACTTGGTGTCTATAATTTGTCTCACTAGGGTTAGCTTCTCAGCTCTTTCTAGAAGATTTTGGTCTAAATTCTGATTCTCTCCTTGGCAGAATGCCTCAGATAATATAGCCCATCCTAATCCTAGCCTCTCATGACTCGGCCAACACCATAGCCAGACTGGCCATGGATTGTAATGGAACACTCCGCCTCATTCAGAAATCATGATTATTACACACTATTCATTTCTCCTTCTGCCCTTCTTTGTGTTTCATATAGGTAAACAAAGCCTCATGTGGCTTGGGAAAATACTGTAAAAATAGTGTGTAATGGCTTTAATAAAAAGTGAGTTGGAAAAGTAAAATTTGGAATGTATTTGGCTATTGAAAACATAGAGCTCATAAACAGCAATTGAGATGACAGCATTCCTGTTTCATGTTGCATTGAATTTGTTTGATGGTACGGAGCAGAGTCTCACTTTTTCCAAAGAAAATCACCAGGACTCTATGCACTTGGTACCGATTTCACTGAGCACATTCAGTTCCATTATTACAGGAAGAAGAGTGAGCCTACCATTTCTGAGTGGGAGCTGGCCCTTTTCAGAGGCCACAGGAGCATATTATGCAGCCACCTGTTTTAAGAGCCAGCAAATTGACCAGCAATTATTAACCTGCCTTTTTCTGTCAAAGTGCTTAGAATAAGATTGCAATTATGAACAGTAGAGTTAACATATTTTTCATATCTGTTATTAACCACATGCAATGTCACCAAATACATAAAATGGATATTCAAAAACCATTTCTCTCCTCTCTTTGCATTAATAGGCTTTAGGTTTAAGAGCTTCCAGCTTATTTCCTATAAGAGATTTCTACCTATATTGATTTTCACCATAGACTGTAAAAGTAGAGCAATTGACCCTTTATATTCATTTAAAAGTGGGGACATAGAGGCTTGACAGTGTTCAATATCTTAGTCACCATCAGAAGGAGACCAAAAAGGAAAAGAAACAGACTGACCCAGGGTGAATTGTGGTTGCTTAGGCATCAGCGAGATCTAGGTTTGATAACTTATTTTGATCTGAACATGTTGTATGATGTGAGGCACCCAACTCAAGCTCACTAAACCATAGTTTTATCAGTAAAAAAGGTTTTAAAAAACCCTATATCATAAGATTGATGTAAAACATTGAAACTTATGAGTCTCAGAGACAAAGAGAAAATCCGGAAAGCAGCTCGGGAAAAGAGATCTGTAACCTACAATGGTAGAAACATTAGAATGGCAACAGACCTATCCACAGAGACCCGGCAGGCCAGAAAGGACTGGCATGATATCTTCAGAGCACGAAACGAGAAAAATATGCAGCCAAGAAT